AGGACACCTTCGACATTAGACCATTCTGCCAAGCCTGAGAAATGTAGCAGCTCTACCTGATACATAGAAACAAATACAGAGAGGCTGCCAAAATGACAAGCCAAAGAAGCATGGCACAAATGAAAAAATAGAACAAAACTCCAGAAAAAGAACTAAACAAAATGGAGACAAGCAATATACTAGATGCAGAGTTCAGAATACTAGCTATAAGGATGCTCAAAGAACTTAGTGAGGACCTCAAAAGCATAAAAAAGTAGTCAGAATGAAGGATACATTATTTGAAATAAAGGGCAATTTACAGGGAAACGACAGTGGAGTGGATGAAACCAAGAATCAATTTAGCAATTTGGAATATAAGGAAGCAACAACAACAACAACAACAACAACAACAAAACAGCAACAACAAAACCCCAAATCAATCAGAATAGCAACTAGGAAAAAAATACAAAAAAATGAAGATAGTGTAAGGAGACTCTGGGACAACTTCAAGCACTTCTACCTTCACATCATGGGGGGTGCCAGAAGGAGAAGAGAAAGTGCAGGAAATTGGAAACTGATTTGAAAAAGTAGTGACTGAAAACTTCCCTAACTTGGTGAAGGAAATAAACATACAAGACCAGGAAGTGCAGAGAGTCCCAAACAAGATGAACCCAAAGTGTCCCACCCCAAGACACATTGCATTTAAAATGCCAAAAGTGAAAGACAAAGAGAATCTTCAAAGGAACAAGAGGAAATGCAGTTAAGGGGGCTCCCATAAGACTTTCAGCTGATTTCCCAAAAGAAACTTTGCAGGCTAGAAGCAATTGGTAAGAAACATTCAAAGTGGTGAAAAACAAGGATCTACCACCAAGATTACTCTACCCAGCAAAATTATCATTTAGAATCAAAGAACAGGTAAAGTGCTTCCCAGACAAGGAAAAGCTAAAGGAGTTCATCACAACCAATACAGTACTATACGAAATGTGAGAGGGCCTTCTTTAAGAAGAAGAAAAAATAAAAACTATAAACAATAAGATAAATACATACCTATCAACAACTGAAACTAAGAATAAACAAGCAGAAGATAAACAGACTCATAGATACAGAGGACATTTTGATGGTTGTCAGATGAGAAAGGGGTTGGAGGGATGGGGAAAAAAGGTGAAAAGGTTAAGAAGTACAATTTGGTAGTTACAGAACAGTCATGGGGATGTAAAGTACAGCATGGGGAATAGAGTAGCCAAAGGACATATATGCATGACCCATGAACATCGACTAACGTATGGAGATTGTGGCTGAGGGAGTGGTGAAGTTTGGTAGAGGCAGGCAAAGGGGGGGAAACTGGGACAATGGCAATAGTATAAATAATAAAATATAATTAAAAACAATATATAGAGACAAATGAAAATGAAAATACAACACATCAAATCTACTAAGATGCAACAAAAGTGGTAATAAGAAGAAAGTTTACATCATTTCATGTTATCAAGAAACAAGAAAAATCCCAAATAAACCACCTAATGTTACATTTTAAAGAACTAGGAAAAAACCAAATGCAGCCAAAAGTTAGCCAAAGGAAGGAAAAAATAAAAATTAAAGCAGAATTGATTGAAATAGAGAGCAAAAAGACAATAGAGAAACTTAATGCAACAAAAAATTGGTTCTAAGAAAAGATTAATAAAATTGACAAATCTCTTAGACTCACGAAGAATAGAAAAAGAAAAAACTCTAATAAATCCAGAAATAAAAGAGGGAAAGTTACTACAGACACTACAGATATACAAAGGGTCATACAATAATACTATGAAAGTCTATATGCCACCAAGTTCAAAACCTAGAATAATTGGAAAAGTTCTTAGAAATACATAACCATTGTAGAGTGAATCATGATGACACGGAAAATCTAATAGACAGTGAGAAAACTGAAACAACCATTAAAAACCTCCCAAAAAGTAAGTCCAGGACCAGATGGTTTTAATAGTGAATTCTATCAATTATGCAAAGAATTACTTGCTATGCTTCTCAAACTCTTTCAAAAACATTGAAGGAGGGGCAATACTTCCTAACACATTTTATGAGGCCAGCATAACCCTGGTCCCAAAGCCTGTTAAGAATCTCTCTCTCTCTCTCTCTCTCGCTCTCTCTCACACACACACACACACACACACACACACACACACAGTACAGACCAACATCTTTGATGAATACAGATGCAAAAATCCAAACAAAATACTAACAAATTGAATACAATAATACATAAAAAAGATAATACATTACAATCAACCAGGGTTCATTCCAGGGGCTCAAGGATGGTTCAACATATGCACATGGATCAATGTGATATACCACATTAACAAAATAAAGGATAGAAATTATATGATCACATCAATAGATGCAGAAAAAGCATTTGACAAGATACAACATTCATTTATGATTAAAACACTCAATAAAATGGGTATAGAAGCAAAATGCCCTAACATAATAAAAGTCCATATATTACAACTGTTAGCTAATAGCATACTCAATGGTAAAAAACTGAAAGCTTTTCCTCTAAGATCCAGAACAAGACAAGGTTGACCATTCTTTCCACTGCTATTCAAAACAGTACTGGAAATCCTAGCCAGAGAAATCAGGCAAGAGAAAAATAAAAGGCATCTAAATTTGGAATGAAGTATAAATGTCATTTTTTGTAGATGACAAGATTCTTTATATAGAAACCCCTAAAGACTCCACCAATAAACTATGAGAAGTAATAAGTATACAGTAAAAAATACAGTAAGAAATAGTTTCAAGGTAGAAAATCAATGCACTAACAATAAAATTTGAGAAAACTAAATAAAAAACCAATTCCCTTTGCAAATGCAACAAAAAGAATGAAATTCCTGAGAATAAATCTAACAAATGATGTGAAGGACCGAAAACTATAAGACATTATTAACAGAAGTTGAAGAAGATATAAAAAAAGATAAGATATTTTGTGTTCATGGTTTGGAAGAATCAACATAGTAAAAATGGACATATTACCTAAAGCAATATACAGTTTTAATGAAATTCCTATTGAATTCCCAATGGCATTTTTAAAAGAAATAGAACAAAAAAAATCATCAGATTTGTGCCAAACCACAAAAGACCCTGAATAGCTAAAGCAATCCTGAGGGATGGGGGGAAAACAGTCTAAGGTAATCACACTCTCTGACTTCAAACTGTACCACAAAGTGACTATAATAAAAAAGTATGGTATTGGTAGAAAAACAGACACGCATACCAATGGAGCAAAATTAAGAGTCCAGAAATAAGCCCACATGTATATGGACAAGTAACCTTCAACAAATGAAGCAAAAACATACAATGGAGAAAAGAAAGCCTCTTCAATAAATGGGCCTGGGAAAATTGTAAAGCCACATGCACAAGAATGAAATTAGACTGCCACATCACCACATACAAAATTAACTCAAAATGGATCAAAGACCTAAACCCAAGCCCAAAACAATAAATTACATAGAACAATACATAGGTACTAAACTTATGAACCTTGATCTTAGAGAAGATTTTATGATTTTGACCTAAAAGCAAGGGAAACAAAAGCAAAAGTGAATGGGGGCTATCTCAAACTAAAAAGCTTCTGCACAGCAAAAGAAACTGTCAACAAAACAAAAATTATCTAACTAAATGAAAAAAGATATTTGCAAGCAAAATATTCAACAAGGATTTAATATTCAAAATATATACAATTCAACAAGAAAAAATTCAATTAAAAAAGGGCAGTGGACCTAAACACTTTTCCCAAGAAGGCATAACAATGGCCAACAGATATATGAAAAAAAATGCTCAATATCACCGGCTATTAGGAAAATGAAAATCAAAATTACAATGAGATACCACCTCACACCTGTTAGAATGGCCATCATCAAGACAAATAACTATGTGTTGGGAATATTGTGGAGAAAAAGATATTCTTATTCACAGCTGGCAGGAATGTAAATTGGTATAGTCAGTGTGGAAAACAGTATTGATGGAGGTGCCTCAAAGAATTAAGAACAGAGTCAGCACTCTCTTTTGGGTTATCTACCTGAAAAATTTGGAAACATTCATTTGTAAATATAGAGCCACTCCAGTTCATTGCAGCATTATTCACAGTGGCCAAGACATGGAAACCAAAGTGTTCTTCAATAGATGATTGGATAAAGAAGATGTAGTACAAATATACAATGGGATGCTACTCGGCCATAACAAAAGGTGAAATACTCTTATGTATGAGAACATGGATTGAACTTGAGAATATCATGCTAGGTGAAATAAGTCAGATGAAACAAATCAAGAACCATATGACTTCACTCACATGGGATATAAACCTGAGAACAACAAATGAACAAACCAGACAAAAACCAAAAAAACCTCACAGACACAGACAAGAGTCTGGTGGTTTCCACAGGGGAAGGGGGGTAGGGGGCAAGATAGTGAAGGCTAAAGGGGGTAAAATATATGGTGACAAATGGAGCTTTGAGTTTGGGTGGTAAACACACAATGTAATATATAAAAGATGTATTACTGTTTTGTACACTTGAAATCTATATAATTTACCAATGTCACCCCAGTAAATTTAATAAAAATGTAAACTTCTGTTTTGAAGTAAATTTAATAAAAAATAATGGTAATGCTAGCGTAGTCCACAAAGGGTACCTGGCACATGGGAAAGTCTCAATAAACTTTTATTTTCCTGTGTGTCAATTAATTAGTTGAAATGATTAACCAGGAATAAAGTAGTGAGACAGAAGGACTTTTGAGTAGAAATGGGATGATTTTGGAAAAGAAAATCCTACCTTGGAAAGGTTGGCTTGGATAGGGGATTTACAACTATTCTCACTTCAGGAAAGCGTAGAGTCCTTGGGGTGGAGTGTCAGTGGGGGTGGATAGATAGGAGAAAGAGAGAGGGAGACTAGAAGATGAGGGAAAGCATCAATGGCAGACCTGCATCTGCTATTGGTCCTAGGATGTGGTTTTACATAACCACAATTACTTACTCATAATCTAGTTGATTTTCCTTGTGTTCTTCCATTGTAGATCCCCTAAAATACCAGCAGAGGAGTATCTAATGAATTGGGGAAATGGATCCATTTATGAAACACAGAGTAAGTAGCCAAGAATCCCAAAATACAGGAACAAAATTAACTGGTTTTCTTCCTCCAGCCCCTTCATTTGGCCATGACAAAACCCGGCCTTCTGATTCTCTGCCCATGATCTGAATACGCCTCAGTAAGGACACAGTGAGGATATAGGGAAAACGCCATCAAATTCAATGAATGTTCTGCTAGCAGGTATACTCAGAGATGATTCACCAACGAAAAACCATTTGGAAATTTACACACAGCAGTAAAAATCAATAAAGGTTATCAATTGTTCTTAAGTCCCTTTTTATTCTAGGCCTAGCTCTTTTATTTAAGAACCCATAGGAATGGCATGGGTGAATAACCACCCTGAAAAAGTACTGTCTCTGCTCTCTAGCCTGGCCTCTGCGAGGATCCCTAGTTATTGAGATCTTTAGTATTCAACTCGACAAAGAAAAACCAAGCAGAATTTAGTAATTTGGCTCAGTCTGCCCCTTAGTTTCCTCTTTTTCTCCATTACTTCAACAAACTCTACCTCCCTTCTGATGTGTATGGTCTTTCTGATTCTGCCCTAGTGAATTTGCTTCTGAAGAGTCTAATCTTTCCCCACTGGAACTATCCAATAGAATCTCGGAACCTTCCAAGAGGTCATGACTCTGCTATTGACATTGGATGGGCGGGGCAGCATGTCACAGTGGGGAGGATGACAATGGTTTCTCATCATGGGTGCTGAGTTCAGAGCCTAGATGGGTGCCTGTGTTTCACAGCTGAGTCTTTCCTCTGGTAGAAGTAGGTTTAATGGGTCTGATATCTGGGTAGCATGAAGAGGTAACCCCTTCCTTTGATTTCTCTAGCAGGTTGAGCTCCCTTCCTGCACAAGTGTGACTAATATGGGAATTCTGGATCCTAAGTCCAGCAGTCTAATCCTATCATGTAGCCAACTAACCATTCATTCATTCAACAAACATTGAAACATTGAGAGAGCACCTGTGTATGCCAGGCACTCTTCTAAGCACCATGCATACAGAGTGAACAAAACAGCCAAAAGCAACAGCCCTCATGGAATTTACATTCTAGGGAGTGTGTATGTGAGGAGAGAGGTAGCACAAACTACAAACTAAATGTTTATTTTCATTGGGTGTGATAGGAGAATGCTCGAAGAAACAAATGAGTGACAGGGGTAAGAGGAAATGCAGTGTGCATTGTGTGTGTGTGTGAGGGAAGGGGTTGCAGTTTTAAAAATGATGGTGCAGAGAAAGCAGCTGAGCAATTTCAGACTCAGTAGCATAGATGTGTTATGAGGCCTAGTACACGGGGCACCTTAGGTCTTGCTGAGATGGACACACAATCTGCAGACCTCATAATCACGGTCAATAGCAAAGTCTATAGGCCAGCGTGAAGCCTGAAAGGCCAGCAGGTCCAGGAACACCGAGAAGAGGCATGAAGGCCTGAAGCTCCTCCTTCAACGCTTTAAGGACTTAGAGCTTTTCCTGCACCTCCCATTGTCTGTAAGAGAAGAGCTCTGTGGCGAGGGAGAATCTCCCCAAAACACTGGGAAATTACCTGAAAGAGAGTTTTAGCTGGGAAAAGTTCATGATATCTCAAATTGGCCCCATTGAGTCTTTTCTGACAACTTTAGGCATAGGAGCTAGAGGAGGAAAATATTACAAAATCAGTTGCAGAATGTGTATAATGAATACATTTCTGCATACTGGAGTATGTACATTTTGTACAGATTCTTCACTGTTTGTAACTTTTTATGTGTGTGTGAATCATATTAACCAGGAAAGTTTCGGATCTTGACTTAATAAGGACCACATAGAGTTGATTTGTGGTCCAGAGTGACTTCTTAACACACTGTAGTTTCTAACAAACTATTTGTAAAATTAATGGCCTCTGATGACCCCCATTACCATCTCCCTTCTTCCTGAAAGAAGGCATTTCATTGCTTTATGAAGCTGTACACAGAAGAGTAATTAAGTAACAATTCAGGCCAATGGCCTCTCCCAGGAATTAATGGTAGGGAGAGTTCATTAACCCCAGCAGGTTATAGCTTCTCCAGGAAATGCCCTGGACCAAGGTTATCGTAGCTATTAATGGATTGGATAGGGACTTTAACTGGGATAAAAATAAAGCTCTCTCTCCTTCCTGGGGAGCTTTTCTCCTTGAGGGGCTACCAAAGGCAAGCCCATAGGAGAAGCAGAACCCCAAGGTTGGGGCCTTGTGTGAGGAGGACAATAGATTACTGTTACTGAGAACTGCTAAATCAAGGCAAAAACAGGGCCTTAGGGGCAAATTGAGGTCCTTGATATAAGCCTTCTTGCCATTGAGGAGGTGGCTTGATTAACACCCAGCACAGCTTTAGAGGAGCTGTTTTCACCTTGTTAACTTTTCCATGCCAGGCCTTGCCCCACACAGAAAAGTCACTGAGAGATGTCAGAGTTTGCTGCACTGCTGCCAGGATGCAGTGGTCTTTGTGTGGCAACCTGTTGTGAAATACCCTCTCTTTTTCCAGACTGGGCATTTAAGCTGTTTGCTGAGCCTCTGCCCTGCTGGGAGGGGACTGGCCAAGGACATGAGCTCTGAGGGAAGGTGCATGGGCCCTGACCTTCCTGCTGCCTCCTGGGGATGGAGAGCTTCTTCTACTCATCTGGCTTGTCTGCATGTCACTTTGGCTTACTTTTCTGAAATAATTTTATAAATGAGCCCAGTTTTGAGGCTCATATCCAGGGAAGCTTCTAGAACTTCATTTTAGGTCATTGTTTTTTGAATACAGAATCAATTATGCTATTTTCCTTATGTCCCTACTTATTTTTAGTGACTATTTCTGTACAATGTTTAGGCTCATAAACTTTCTTTGAATTTCCTTTCAGGATCTTCTCAGAATAGTTTTCTCAAAAGCAATAACTTCAACAGAAATATGAAGAAGAGAGAAAAAGAGAGACAGAGAGAAAGGGAGGGAAGGAGCCATTAGCAATAAACTAATGTAGTTTGAACCGGGAAAATTATGTATTAAATATTTTATTTTAAAATTAAATGTCTTTTTATGCCTCAAATTTTAATAAGATGCCCTATGTGCACATTTATTTGTTAATAAAAATCGAAATAGCACATGGACACATTTGTTACAGTTCAAATTTTTGAAAACCAGAGAATCTAGTTAATACACCCTGCACCAATCATGCTCCAGCCAAACCACCCAATGCTCTTTTTCTTTTTTATATTTCTTTTGCACAAGTTACTTGCTTCTAATTCTTGATGCTGAGTTTCATCTTACCAACTTCAGGCTTCTAAAACACAACAATAACACTTAAGACCTATTAGTCCTTCCTTGGGTCAAATAAAAAAGGCACTGAAGTGTATTGAAGTCATTCAAATGCAGACTACATAGTTTCCCTGTAAATTACTGGCAACAAGGTAGACAAGAAAAAGATGCAAGAAAAAGACATCATAGAACTTCTATCACAGGTTATCAAAATATTGGTCTACAGTCTGTCCTTGCATAGAAGCTTTCCCAAGCTGCTGCATAATGACTTTAAAATTACCAGCAAGAAAAAAAGTACAAGAATAAGGTTTATGGCTAAATCGACTCCATGTCATAATTATTCTCCATGATAATACTATCAGAAGGATCTCCATGGTATAGGCAGTAACGACAGCTACATCTAAATCTTCTGGATCCTGATTCAATCTCAAATTTCCTCTCCTGTGAGACTTTTTGAAGCAGAGACAGGGTGTGGTATCTAATAATTTGTAACATCCGTTGCATCTTTTCCTTCTGAGCAGTGGCCAATGTCCTCACTCCTTGCCGCCTCCTGTAGAGCATGCCTTGGCTCAGCTCCAGTCCAAGGCCCTGTAAACTTGTTCCTCTCTCCTGCTTTTCAGGTAAACATTCTGGTAGCAGGGAAGGCAATGTGGTACTAGGGTTGACAGTCAAGTTACCAAGGTTCTTTGCTAATACTTCTGAGACAGCTTGAGTGTCAGCCCAATATACTTCATGGGGCATCTGAGAAGACGCCGGCGTCCAGGTCGGGTTAAACTCTTTGGTGAGTCCATTGGATGTCTGGTCACAGCCTGAAGCTCCTCCTAAGATTTCCCCAAAGGGTTCAGTAGATGGTGATACTCAAAACTCAAACTGATACTAAAATTACATTTTTAAAAATTTATGGCACCATTGCTACTAGAACAGCAATTAAAAAAAATAAAGTTCACTGAGGATCTCATCTTAGTAAAGACCCTATATTTTTCCAAGTTTCTTCTACTTTTTGTCTATGACCAAACCATCTTTATAGTTATTATAGAATAGATATATTGCTATATTTTGCCTTTCATTTAATATTTTTATAAACATTTTTCAGGTTGCTACATGCTCTCTATAATTATTTCATTTACTGAATAAAATTCTTCTGGTTGGTCATACTCATATTTGCTTCAAAATTCCTTTCTTACCATATCTGCCTCCTCTTGAGGGCCACGAGAGGGCCTGTGTTAATTTGTCAGGGCTTCCATAGCAAAGTACTGCAGCCTGGGTGGTTTAAACCACAGACAGTGATTTTTCTCACAGTTCTGAAGGCTGTGAGTCCTGATCAAGGTGTCGGCAGGGTTGTTTCTCCTGAGGTGGCTTTCCTCAGCTCACAGATGGCTGTGTTCGCTGTGTCCTCACATGGTCCTCCCTCTGTGTGTGTCTGTGTCCTAATTTCCTCTTCTTACAAGGGCATCAGTTATAAGGGATTAGGGCCCACCCTAATGGCCTCATTTAAAATTAATTACCTCTTTATAGACCTACCTCCAAATAAAGTCACATTCTGAGGAATTAGGACTTCAATACAGGAATTTTGGGGACACAACTCAATCTACATGAGGTTGTCAACAAATGTTTCACTGTGACCAAATTTATAAACATTCAGGTTGTTTTCCCACCCCACAATAAAAGCACTTCAAAGAATGTATTCGTATAGTCATGAATTTTTAAAGGTATAATCAAAATATGCACTTAGATTTTTTCCATTTTGAATTTCTACTCAATAGCATATCAGTCAACTGCTTTTTATTTTACAAACAAGGAAAATAAGGACAAGAGAGATTAAATGTCTCACTGGGATTAAGAAAGAATAGTAAAAAATATCTCCCATACCTGAAAACACACCCCTCAACATTTTCTGATTTATTCTTCTGTAAGCCTGGGAGAGTACAACAGGAAGGAGGAATTTCCTTAATTATACCATGGAGCTGGTATTACAGAGCACTTATTTAGTGTACCCTGCATATTAGTGACATTGTTTTGGTTTTCAAGGAGATCATTTCTTCTGAAGTAACTGATGTTTGATCTCTGTTTTAATCACCCTTTGCTTCATTTTAAATTTGCTTTTCTAGCTTTAATTAAAAAAAATTGCGAGCCCTGGCTGGCATAGCTCAGTGGATTGAGCTCGGGCTGCGAACTAAAGCATCACAGGTTTGATTCCCAGTCAGGGCACATGCCTGGGTTGCAGGCCACGGCCCCCAGCAACCGCACACTGATGTTTCTCTCCCTCTTTCTCCCTCCCTAAACCACCCAATGCTTCCTCCCTCTCTAAAAATAAATAAATAAAATCTTAAAAAAAGACTTTATAAAAAAATTTTGCAGTTAGAAAGTGATCAATCTTGTTGGGAACCACCCTGACTGGTATCAGAGGCTGAAACCCCCGCCTAGCTAAGGCTAAGGGAATGCCCTTGGAACCGTAAGCCAGCAAGGAGACAAAAGCTTATCTCCCTGGCAGGAATGCTGCTTCTGCTGCTGAACCCCAAAAAGCTTGGTTGGTTAGCCAAAGACGGGTAAGATTCCCCACAGGGGGAACGACCTAAGCCAGGCATGATCACTTTGGGAGGCCCCCCAAAAGAAGGACTTGGGGGGCTGCAGCAAAAGGGGGTGATGGACCCTTGCTCCTCGGCTTTGACAAAGCCTGAGTTCTCAGCGTCTGGGAGAAAATCTCCTTATCTCTTGGTTACCTAGTTCCCTTGCTCCACCCAAGCCTAAAACAATGACAGGGTGGTGCAGCTCGGTACTGAGAAGTGCGGATTTCCTGGGGTGATCAGGCCTAAGAAAGAATATGTAAATTACTGTGAAACCTTCTTTGTTTAGAATGCTCTCAGTTGAATGAGAAGGGTCTTAGGAGGAAGTTAGTTTGTTCCTCAGTCTTACAGCTCTTTGACCCCCAACTCAATAGACCAGCAGAGTTCTTTGTTTTCTATAGTTCCTTACTTCCCCTAATGAGTACTGTACTTTACCTGAATTATTATGCAAAATGAGCCTAATAAAAGCAGGTACGGACGGTAAATCAGCGCGCTCCCCACTAGGGGGGGTGGCCATTTCGTCCCTACTTCCCCACAGAAACTAGTTTGTCTCTGTGCATGTGTTGTTTTTTCTCTCATGTTTATCGTCGAGCCATCCACAGCGTTCCGTGGTCACTGCTGGCCGGTGACCCATGCGCAACAAATCTATGGAAGATACCTAAAAAGGATACCTAGAGTCTCTGCAAGCAAATATTTATTAAAACTTTACCCTGAAATTTGATGTAATTTTATACTAGCTTCTCAATTTTTCTGTGTTCTTTTGTGGTATAATGGAAACATGACTCTTTAAATTTGCTTGCTAGTCCTATAGAGAAGCCTTTCATGCACTGAGATTTTGGGCTGTCTTTTGTTTAGCAGAGGTGGTATTATGCTAGAATAGTCATACTATAAATGACTTCTGATTGGCTTAGTTTTGGCTATATACAGTCATGTGCTGCTTAATGATATGATAGGGGTATGTTCTGAAAAATGAGTCCTTAGGCAGTTTTGCTATAGTGCAAAGATCATAGAGTGTATTCACACAAACAGATAGTATAGCCCACTACTACCATTGTATGTGTTATACTTTTTTATGACTCGCAGCACAGTAGGTTTCTTTACACCAGCCCCACTACAAACATGTCAGTAATGTTACACTATGATGTTATGATAGTATGATAGAAATTTTTCAGCTCCATTATAACTTTATGGGACCACTGTTGTATATACACTTTATCAATCACTAAATGTTATGTGGTGCATGACTATATTCGATCTTTCTTTATTTAGCAAACATTTTTATGAGTACCCAATAAGTATTGATTTAGATAATGAAATGACTCAAAGATGACTAGAAGACAAGCATGTTTCAGAAGGCACTACCATGTAATAAAATGTTACAGTATTGGTGGTTAGAAAGTACTTAGGGGTGCAGAAGGGAACATGTAACCATAATTTAGGGAAGCTTCAAAGGAAATATTGGGGTGGATAGCTGTGTGTCACCCAACAGCTACAGATTCGGCTGTGAATCAGGCTCCAGGATCACTCCCTTGCCCATCATGGGATCTTAATTTGGGTAGAATCCAGTTAGTCTGTCTTCCTGTTTTCTCTGACTGTGCTCCTGGTCTGGCACCTCAGCTTGTGCCTATTCCTGTGACCAGTGACCTAGGTTTATTCCTTGGTTTCAGGGTGTGGAACTCTGTCATAAGTCTACCTGAAAATGCAGTCCTGGCTAATTCTGTAGTTAGATTCTGTTCTTCTCAGAACCACTATGTGTGGATCTCCGACTCAAAGCTGGGCCAGTCTGGTGCTTCCCCATCTCTCCAATGTCCTGCCTGCCCAAGTCCCCATAGCTCTATGGTCTGCCTGTTTACTGGGCATGCCCCACTTACCATTGTTGGATTTCCTTGTTCTAAAAGCCTGTTCAATCCTCCTCCTTTGTTTATATCAGCTCTCTAGATCTCAAATGCTTCCTGGGCAACCACTTCCCCTTGCTGCTGAATTGGAACCTTGACAGCTGTCCCCTTGTAGAAGCTGTATTTCATCCATGTTTCAGCAGTTGTGGGTAGAATGTTGTAATAATATTAATGTACAAATAGGGGTGCTTCTGCTGAAAGTGAAAAATTAGATTTTAGAGTTAGATTGTATTTTGAAAATTCTATGCATGGGTTGTAGTCTGGTGACACTTAAACATATAAATCACTTAGGGAGCTGTTTTCACAAATAAAAGTGTTCTCAAAGGCTGAGTTATGCTGCTGTTTGGGGAGAAGGTGCTTCCCTTTAGAGTTGATCTTTTTCTTCCAGTCATCACTGATATTCGTTGGGTCCTTATAATATTTAATAGTCCTCTTTCCTGAGAAAATATAAACAAACAAAGATAAAGTTGAATGTTTTCTTAAGCTAGCTGTAGATTTGAACAAAACATGTCTGAAAGGTGAAACTCAAGATAATTTCAGAATTCTAAACAGGTTTTATAACCTCTATTGGCAAGAGATCTGTATTTGCAGAATCCATAAAGCTTTTAAGGTATAGTTGATATTGAAACAATAATGACCCTGGAACAGGATATTTCCTGGAGATTAATGACTAGCTGGGAGGGGTTGATGGCCTGAGGTGTAGTTGAGGGCCATTAACCTCAGACAGTCATTAAAGCCCAGGAAATGTCCTATGTCTAGGTCGTTATTGTTATTATAAATTGAAAATGGAAAAAAGAAACAGGCACACAGATGATCTGAAGGGCGACTCCATTTCCAATGGTTTGAGCAGGGAGCGTTCTGGGAGAATTTATTCCCCGTCCATTAGCCAACCAATCTCTCTGAATCCTCTGTCACATTGCCCTTCAGCTGATGGGTCTTTGTGCTGGAAATCCCTGAATTCCCCAGATACCAGAGTGGAGAGTACAGTTCCCTGGTTGTAGCTACCTTAGCTCAGAGTGACTGAATTAAACAAATAGTAACAGTGAATTATTTTGCCACCACTCTTAATTGCCTCTTACCTTGTCATCTACTTGCTTACCCTGTGATTAGCTGATTTCCATTGAGCTGCAGTAAATTTTAAGCCCTTTTGTGTATTGTCTGTGTTTATTTCCCAAGTCTTTGGTGGTGCATGTGCAAATTGTTTGCTTCACAGTGACACCATCTCTAGTCATGCTAGATAGGGCACTCCCATCAAATTCCTTGTTCACTTTCCAAAAATTACAATAAGTCAGAGGTATTTTGAATTCCCAACTAATAAGTATTATGTAGATTGGAATGTACTAAATTTCAATTTTCTATAAGCCCTATAACAGCAGACTCACCTTTCTCTCTTTTTTTAAGCAATTGCAAAACATTTAAAATGGAGAAATAATCACTTAGTGTTTACAGTATTACTTTAGGGCTTTTTACAAATAGTTGGATATGAAATATTCAGCTGGAATATTCTGAAACAGAACTTGTCATACTTGTTTTATTCATGGGCTATAAGAAATTGCATGTCAGACTTAAAAAAATCAGAACAGTATGACCATCATGTAGCTATGGCTCTACTATTTCATTCATTCAATTGTCAGAAAAGGTTCGAGCTGTGTGTTGGATCAGCTCAAATTCATCACCAGTGAGTGTAAAACAAAAGACAAACCTCAAAACACTGGCCTTGGCAACACTGGTCAGAAACAGTGGCTTTGCAGAAGAATAGTATATTAATGTATAATACTAGTCTGCCAGTGTCACTAATAGGTTTTATAAATATGCAGTTCTTCCTCAAAAGATTTTTCTCCTCCCTATAGTGGTGCCTAAAATTCCTGTTACTTAGGAATTTGGTCTAAGATATTGAAAGGCCCATTTAAAATACAAGTGCTAATTTTTTAACCATTGACACCTTAACTATACTTTATTAAATTTTTCAGACTACAATTAGCTTGGGCATTCAATATAACCAAAATGATAAGATTAATATACAATAAAGGAAACTATTATGATAGTTTTCTTTTTTTCCAAATCCCTACTGATGTAATCTTTGAAATCTCTTTTCCTGGCAGGGTCTTCAGAGTAGTTCATATTTTCTTGGCTATCCCTAAAAGTACCCCTATTCCACCATTCATTCTGTTTGAACATGTTTATTGAACACTGTTTTGCTCTAGTCTGCTCTTTCTGTAGGATGACTTTCCTTGGTAAAATGGGATAACTTCCATGCAGGCTGCAGGATTTGTCCTTGCCTTAGGGTGGCACAACTCTTGAAATGAATGTCACGGTCTACTGTGGTCAGTGTTACTCTGGTGAAGTGGGGGAAGAACTTTCTTTTTACCAGTGGTTAAAAAATGAGTTTTCATTTTCTTAGTATGCTTATTGATTTCCTAATTTATTTTAGTATAATAGCTCACCTTCCCACTCTTTTGACTTTCTATATCCCCCACCTTGTGGATTTTGGTGCAAGTTATTATCGTAATGGGTTGGGAGATTTTAAGTGATTTTGCCTGTGGTCATCTATAAAATCAATCTCTAGCCATCTACTATAACAGGCATCTTGAACCTCCCATCAGAGTGAATTCACTCCATATTTCACAGTGCTGAGGAGCTCCAAGGTCCTTCCTCTCTTTGAGTGTTCATGTAATCACATCTCTACCCTATCTAGTCATTGCTCCTTGATGCGGACTCTGCAATCTTCTAGTCCTGGGTAGCCTACACAGGAGCCCCTTGGCATGTTTGAATTTTTGCATTGCAAAGGTGGAATTGGGGTCCTTTGAGGCATCTCACTTGAGACTATTCCTTCAAGTCATTTTCTGTGCTGCTATAGGGGACACCAGGAGGCATAAGTATCCTGAGCACACAGCTGCAAAATAACTCAGACAAGGGAGAAAAAGGGAGAGTACAACAAAATAATGTTAATCTGGTTGTTTCCATTCTAAAAGAAGATAAAATCATGAGAAGATACAACTAAAGATATTTGTTGAAGAATTTCCATTCACTTGGGTGTAAGCTCTCAATAACTGCTCTTCTTCATTGTACCTAGTTGCATACAATTAACAATGGGTACATTATTAATGTGTTAGCTGGATTGCAGAATGTTCTAGTCACTTTTAATTAATAGAATAGTCTTTTGTTTTTTTAAAATTTAATTTTATATTAAATTCAAAGTTCTTTTCTTCCCTTCATTCTACAAAGAATTGACTTCTCTCTTGTCTATCTTCTGGTCAGGAGTTTTTCTATGATTAGGCAATGTAGAAGAGGAACAGGGATAAACTCCTCCTTATTTAACTGCCTGTGGTAAGGGACAGTTCCCTGCTTGGTCACCTGTCCTCATTTGTTTGCCTCAGGGTAATCGTTAATGCCTTCTGTGTAGTAGGCATGCAGTTGCTGGTCCTCTCATATGTAGGTTCTTCTGAGGGTCTTCAAAGCCCTTCCCTTCTTAATACATAGTGAGAAATCTGTTTTTACCTTTTTCACTTCCTTAACCCCTACAAAAGTTGCCCA